AGGGAGAACAGAATGGGAGAGGAAAAGGAAAAGAGAGAGATGATATTCTAGTTATTATAATCTTTTGTGGATTTTAAAGAGGACATATTCTGCTCATTTCCAGCTTCATATCAGTATGTAGTGTCTCTACTGTGACGTGTCTCCATGCTTTAATGTTCAAAAAGCTCTTTATTTCTCTCATACTGCCTGTGCTGCAGCTCCTCTTTTCACCCTCTGTCTGAAACCAGAGCCCAGTCTGCTCTGATTGGTTAGCTGGCCGGCTCTGTTGTGATTGGTCAACCACTTAGATATGTCCCGCCCCTTAGCCTATCACGTACAATGTGTTGGAGTGCTAGCCAATAGAAGCACAAGTGTTACACAAAGATGTCACTAAGTTACAGAACTAAACAAAAGAGTCCAATCTCTTATAATTTTCTAATCATAAATCTATCGATTAGATTTATGCTTCGAAAATGATAAAAGTAGGGTAGACATGTGGAGATTATCCGGCTGAACAAAACGTGATCCGTCTCTTAAATGTGTCTCAACCACAGACCTTATTTCAAGCTATTTTCCAAAATCCTATGGAGAAATTGCATTGCGTTTTTGTCCAAAGAACCGGAAGAAGTTTACTTCCTGGTTTTAGGACGCGTCACTGCGGTTCTCTATAGAGGTGATTCAGGCAGGGGGGGGGGGGGGGGGGGGGGGGGGAGGGAGAAACTCCTTCTGGAGGGAACACCATTTACATGCACAATAACCTATATTACTCACTATAGGAAAAGGAAAAGGCCAAAAGCATAGAAAGAATAGTTCAACTATTTGAAATGTGATACAGAAGATACAATACTCATGATTGTCTCGAGACATGATGTGGTTAGCCTAGCTTAGCGTAAAGACTGACAGCAATGGGGACAAGCCTGACTCTGTCCAAAGTTGAAAAATGAACCAAAACCAACACGCCAAAATGTCTCTTATTGACATGTTATATCTAGCTGGTTTAATCAGACAAATGTACATATTACTTGTTAGCGGTAGTTTCTCGCTGCCCCCCTGTGTTTGTCACGCTCTCTACCTTTTTCCTAAACAATGCTCCATTTAACTCTCTGCATCTCTCTAGTCTTTAGACTTCCTGTTCTTCTCTAATCTGATTCAGTTTTTCTCTTGGTTTTTACGTCTGTATCCCTCTCTTCTTTCCTCTTTCTCTCTCTCTATCAGTTTTTAACGTATGAGACCCCGGCTATTTCCCTGTCTCTATTTCTCTCTGGTAATCTATCTTAGTTAATATCGTCTCTGTGAGCAGCTGGGTACCGAAGCCCAGTCAGCGCTGTGTGTGTGTGTGTGTGTGTGTGTGTGTGTGTGTGTGTGTGTGTGTGTGTGTGTGTGTGTGTGTGTGTGTGTGTGTGTGTGTGTGTGTGTGTGTGTGTTGTGTGTGTGTGTGTGTGTGTGTGTGTGTGTGTGTGTGTGTGTGTGTGTGCGTGTGCGTGTGTGTGTGTCACAGAGAAAACAAGATAATGCAGATAATGTGGAAAGTAAATCAGAAGCACGAGGCAGTTTAAGGAGAAGTGAACATGATGATTATCTAAACTAATATAATGTCTGTGTGATCTACACAGCCCAGGCACTTATGGGTAACTGTAGGTCACAACAATTGATCGGGCCCCTGCATGTCAAATAGCTGGAATGATCGAAATGAATATGAAGTGGAAATAATATTGGATGCAAAAACGAAACTGAAAAAGCACTGCCTGATCAAAGACATTCTAGCAGTTTGGCCGTGATGGAAATACAGTGCATTGTCGTGTTTGTCCAAAATCCTTTATCATGAACTTGGTAATTAACCTTTGCCAATATACCTCTTAAAGGAAGTTAAGCATGTCCGGTTATGCTAGCTTTGAACCTGTGAAACCCTCTATTTCTCATGACAGCAGCTACACAACATAAAACTGTCAGTGGTATTTTTCTATATGCTTATAATAACAACTGGAAACTCTCAAAGTACCAGTTCATACTCTGTACCTGGTTTGTTCGGGACTTGAACTGACGACCTTCTGGTTCCCAAGCCAAGTCCCTATGTAGTCAACAACTGCCCCAACACTTCAATCTGAATATCACTTAAATCTGCGTTTTCAAAATAACGATATTGTATTGAACAGTGTGTAGGGAAGGGATTTTGACAGACAGACACACAGACGGTCATTTTGTCCCTCCTCCAGCTCGTGTAGTTGCCGGGGCGACCGGTCTCGCCCGTCCTGGCTCGGTGTTCGAGTACGAGAAGAAAAAACAAAGAAAAGAAAGAAAAGCGCCACAATCAATGAAACCCTTTTTGTTTTAGTGGGAACCCCCTTTTACCCTCGACGACACACACACACACACACACACACACACACTGAAACACACACGGACAGAGGGACAGGATGACTGAATCGGTGTGTGATTGTGTGTGTGTGTGCCTTTGTGTCTGACTCCCTCTCCCTCTGTGTGTGTGTGTGACTGACTTTATTTAAGACAAGGGCCCTTTTGTTTTAAGCCGGAGAATGGCTCTGAGACCGAGGCTGGCCCTGTAATTGGCCTACTTAGGCCCTGTTTAGCATGAGAAAAGCCTTCCTTGGCCCGGCAGTGCCAAGCTAACTCTTGTTTTCAGCCGCGGAGAGGACGGACGCGGTGATCAGAATTCAGATTAGCCCAAAAAACAACCCTCTCCCCCCCCTCGGAAACACACTCCTCCACCCTCTGCTTTAAATACACTGCACACTAATTACTTAACGAGAAAGCTGGGAAAAAAACGTAGTAGCGATGGGGTCTATTTAAAGAAAAGGTGGGAGGGGGGGGGGTCCCTTCTAGATAACTTTTTGTGCCTCTTTAGAAAAAAAGCAAATAGCCTCTCCTCCATCCTTCTCCCCGTCTTTTATTCTCGCGTTCGCTTCACTCCAGAGCGGCCCAGACGCCACTTGTTGCCGGCGAATCATTGAACTTAATTAGCAGGACAATGTGTGAGCGGTTTGCTAAGTTTGAGAAGCCGTAAACAGAGTCAGAGTTAGAGCAGGGAGGAAGCAGAGAGGAGAAGTTAGAGTCTGAGCTGTGGGAGGAACGTGTCCGCGCTGAGCAGCATGAAGTCGCGCTCACGGAGGTAAATACCATCACATACCACGGGTTCATTTAACGTTATCACCTAGCTCAGAGATAGGCTTTGGTCCAGGAGTTAGCCAGCTTCAAAATCTAATCCAAAGGGCAGTTGTGTGTATTTTTATTTATTAATTAGTCTTTGTGATTGGAATTGTCTATCTATCTGTATATCTATTTATCCATCTAACATGTAGTCATGTAATCTATCTTTATACATTTTTATGACTTGAGAAAAAAAAAATTGTTTGAATTTTGAATGTTGAAAATATTTTTTTTTTACATTAAATAAAAAATACATTATGTTCACAAGCAAAACTTTTCAATTTGATTAAATTATTTTACTTTGAACTATGTTTCATTGTGTACTATTGGCAGCCATGGATTTCCATATATGTACTCAAGATTTATCAATTAATCAATTTATTACAAGCTATTCTAAGCTAAACATACTTTGGTTGACTAATACTGTGTTTGATTTATTTTATTTTTAAAAGTCTAATTGATCTAATTCGAACTTTGTAATGTGATTATTTTCTGGTTTCTTTACTTCTAAATAGAATATCCCTGAGTTGTTTACAAACAAAAGACAATTGAGCACGTCTTATGGGATTTAGACAACATTGATAACCATATTTTATCACCTTCTGCCATTTTATAGACCAACCAAGTCAATCAATTAATCCAAAACATAATCCACAAGATAATTGACAATGAAAGTAAATGTTAGTTGCTCTGCTAATCTTACATATCTTGTCCTATTTGGTCAAAATTCCAATATATTGAACCAATAACACGAGTCAACATTATCAATCCATTTCCAGACTGTCCTCGACATCCTAGCATTAGTCAATGTTTGAGGCACTTGACATTTTCTGTCAACAATCACTGGTTTCAGCTTTCTGACGAGTCTTCTAGATCTTTCTACTGGCTGGTGTTCTGATTATGGGAGACATTCACATATCACAAAGTGTCTTATGTTGGACCCTGATGTTCTAGTTCTCTGTGTTGTAAACTCAGGAAGGTATTCTGGGTAGTTGCTAAGGATTGTTCAAATATCCTCTGTTCAACATTTCTTCAACAATAGAGCGTCCGTTCTGTGTTCAATGTTCTATCTTCCTTCCAGTTTGTGCTATCAACATTGCGACGATCAATATTTCATTGTCAGACTTTGGCTATTGCTGGTACGTCAGGCTTTCCTCACAACACTGCTGACAACTTTGCAACGGCCCGCCAAACTACAGACTTCACAACGGACTTGCCTTTTGGATAATTCCAAATATTTTCGTCCCAACATTCTTGTAAAACCATGAACATGCTGGTTTTCAACCGGCTGTAGAATCGTATTGGGCTCGTTTTGTTTCAATACTGTTTTAGCAGGAAGTCAGCTGATATATATTTGTGCCATAGATTCTTTCCAAAAGTATTTTATTCTCGATTCCTTGTGATTGGCGGCACAAAGCTGATAAAATGTATCAATAGAGGAAAAGGCCAATAGACACACATTGACATTAATGGTCTTGGTTTTAAAATGCTTGGTTTCCGTTTATTGGATTTATACATGTATTCATTTATAAGCCATAGCATTGGATCTTTTGCGGTCATAATATATTAGACAGTATTTCATTTTGTCTTAATTTACATTATTTAATTTCATATTCTGTTCTTGTACATATCCCATATTCTATAGACTTTTTGCAATACTTTTTATTTTGTAGTTCTGTATTTTATTATATATGTTGCATTGTTGGAGGAGCTCAGGTCAGACGAATTTAATTGCCATTTCTACTGTGTGGCTTTGTGCATATGACAATAAAACCTTTGAATCTTTGAATAATTTGACTAAATCACCAATGTCTCTCCTTCTTTCTGTTCCTGTCTGTCCGATGTCTCTCGTCCAGTCGGTATTGGGGGGAGAGATGGGTTTGGGGAGTCCCGGCGGCGCGGCGTCGCCCACCAAGCCAGCCGGGCAGTACTACCAGCACTACGGCTCCAACCCTCGGAGGAGAACGCTGCCGATGGACACCATGGGTGAGACGCGCTGACACTCTCATTATGTAGAAGCCTTACACTCGCATAGGGACATTCACATGAACAGTGATGCCATTGAACTGCTTCCTCCTTTGAGAGCAAGAGCTCAGACATTTTCTGGCCCCATTTTTACCCTAAAACTTCCATATGTCATCATCAATGTGAAATAATTTGTCTTTTCCAAGAATATACATTTACTGTAAAGGAAAAATTGCATAGGATATTTAAAAAAATACAGTCAAACCCTTTTTAAGTGTTATTGTTAAATAAGAAATGCAATTTAATATAACAATCCTGCAAACAAATCTCCCTTTATGAACATAATGGTGGTGTGTTTATGTTGGTTTAAATGTAACTTTATGGTCAGTTGAAATAAAGGTAAAACACCTAATATTAGTAACATCCAAATGGGTTACATTCATTTGCAGCATCCAATAAACCCTCCAGAATTCAAAGGTTTTTACAGGCTGCTATAATAGTCTATTTTATAGTTGAACCCAATAAACCTGTGTCTTTGGCTTCAGTGTTGATTTAGAGCAATGGGAGCATGAAGTGAGGTCTTCCACTCACTTTATAAAATAAACATATTATACCTTACAAACACATTTTCTGTTTTAAACTTGAATATACAAACAAATGATATTTAAGTTTTCCAACTTTTAGGAGAATCTACCCTTTTCAAGTACCATTATTAAAAAAAAAAAAAGAACAACCCGCTGATGATGAACTGACTTTTTTTGTGTTTTTTAAAAGATGCACACACCTTTGCATTCATACAAATGATTATGATAATGTAAACCAAATCCCTTTCTTATATTATTATATTACACAGTGCCTTTAAAATTCAACCTTTTTATAATTTGGTGAATTCCCATTAAACATTTCCAGTATTATAATTATTGGACTGAAAGGTAAAAAAGCATTTCAATAAAAGATAGCTATCTGCTTTAATTTACACTTCTGTTTCCAAACTGAAACTTTTGTCAGTGACATTTGGAAACATTTGAACCTGAGCTAATCCAGGTTTTTCAGCCGTGTGTTTTCTGTTTAGAAGGCCGAGCAGAGTGTGTGTGACCGTGTGCGACCATCCTGTTTGTCCCTGTGTCATTTCAAAGGGGACTTTAAGCAAAAAAAAAATTATAATACAGGGAAGTCTTTTAAAAAAGCAGCACAATAGTGGCCGTGGTGTAGCCTTGGTAGCGCTAGCCTTGTGAGGACACACACACTGGGCCAATTTCCCAAAAATAAAAAAAGCAGCCTTTCATTTCTCCATCAAAGTCACACCTTCCCAGTTAATAGACTGCTCCCTCGCTCCCCTTGAGAGAAACCCTGAAAAATAATACAAACATGTCAAAAGCTGCCCTCCTTCCTTTTATCGCACCAAAGAGAAAAAAATCCACCCCGTCCTTTTTTGTGTCCCGTCCTTTTTGTATTTTCTGCATCTTATTGTGTCGCGCATGTTTGCAGTGAAAGCTCTCTTTGTAAATATATTGACGGCGGTGGGAAAAGTGTCCTCGCTCTTTCCTCTCCGGGTGATCGATGATTAAATTCCACACAAATAAAACCAGAAGTTCCTATTTAGAGAAATAAAAAGCCTCTTGGCCTGTTCAACCCCTCATGTATTGTTTTGTGGCTTCTTTTTCTCTTGCAGAGGTTCACCCCAAAAAAGTGCGGAAGGTTCCTCCCGGCTTGCCGTCCTCAGTAAGTGATAAGATGCCTCTTTTTTTTATTATTCCTGTGCTATTATCGCTGCTTCGAGTGTGTGTGAAGAAGAAGAAAAAGGGCTGCTGATGCTCCTGAACGTTTGGAATCGCTGAGCTGGTTTTGTGTAACAGACGTTGCCAGGTTTTGCGAATTTATTGTCGAGGTGAACACGATGTTGGACACAAACAGCTGTGGGCTGATGTTGTTCTATGTGTAAGGAAAATGGAGGTGTAGTTGAATAAATCCCTCTTCTTTACATACAGGATTAACAGCATAAAACTATACAAATGTCTTTGATCGAAACCTCAGCAGTCGATATGCTCGGCTGCTGGTTGGAGGTTTTTATTTTTCAGTTTTGAAGGGATAGAAGTGCTGAAAAAAACATGGAGTTTTAGAAGAAGCTGTTTTGTGAATTTGTGGAGATGAAGCTCATCCTGCTGTCGGAGCTGAACGTAAACAGCTGTTGGTTCTTTGTTGTCTGTTACTGTTGTTAGAATAACATTAAAGAGGTTCCTTCTAGAATAAATACTCATACTTACTAAATAATACACTCATGATATACACTTTAATAAAAAAATATTGTTGCATGCATTACATGTACTTTATATAACAACTACTTTTATATATCTGTTATTTTTCTCATAGTACTTTAGAGTGTGTAAGGGTGTCTTTTTGTGCATTTTAATTCATTTATTTTGATATAAAACAGACCCAATTTATGGGTGCCTTCAAGAGGGATTGTTGCTTTTAGGAAAGTCATTAAAATATGTTAAATGTCAAATACAAGGACTTAGAGTACATGTTGCTGGAATGAGCTGTTGAAAACCGAGATATTTATTATTTGGTTGACTCATTATTTTTGGCCTTCTGGATTGAGACTCTTTCCTTTCGATAAGCTGCTGGTTGGTCGACTGGAATATTAAACTCAGCATAGTCCCTTCAAGGTGGAAGAAACAGGGACATCTGTTCACGAAATGACTGAAGTAATGCAGAAAGTCCTTCACTACCAAACACCCAACATGTGCTTTTTACACATTCTCCTCCTTCATGTGTGTGTCTCTGTTTTATATGGCTGTAAACTGAATCTGTGTGTGTTGGTCGGACAAAACAACACGTTGGAAGACACATGATGGACATTAAATGATTCGGTAATTTCAGCTCTGAACAGATCATCCCTCAGATACATTTTCTCTCAGTGTGCAGGATCTCACAGAAATCTCTGATCAGAAAACGTGTCAAAGCGTCAGTGTTTCCTCCAGAGCTGTGCGTTGACCCCAGCTGTTTGAATCAGAAAGACACGAAGTAACAGCACGCTTAATAATGTTCATTTTTTATTTCAATGTTTTATTTTTTACGTCTTTGTCTTACCTTCTGGTGTTCAAGTAGTCTGCTGCAGGTTGTAGTTTGTTTTAATTTTGGACAATTTCATTGATATAGGCTTCTGTTGTCACATCACAGTATGTTTTATTACATGTTTTGTGGTTTTGGTTGAGTTTATACATGTCATTTTGAACCTTAATTTGGTTTGGAGTTTGGCAAAATGTAGTCCATCGATTGATACTTAAAAAAATGTTTTAATCAAATATATCTTTGTCATCAATTCAATGTCACCAGTGCGGTTCAAATCTATATTCTCCAGCTCTTTATGGTTGATAATATCCAGTTTTGGAAAATACGTGGGTGCCGTCTCACACAAAACAAGCAGGTATGATGTGAATATGCCCTCATAATGATCCAAATATCTAAAATCATCGGTAGTTCCAGCTGTAATTCTCATTAGATGTATTTCTTATTTTGACTTTGAGGTGTTTCACAAGTGGAGCGTTTTTTCCCCTGTTTCTGACCTCATTAATCTGCAGTTAACGATGGCTGAATGTGCGCCGTGTCAGCCGGCTCTTTGGCTCGGCAGGAGTCCGCCTTTCTGTGGCCTCGGCCCGCTTTGTCCGCGCTTCCTCCTCTCTTTCCTCCTCCTCCCCTGTCTGCATCAGCCTGGGGAGGGAGGGGGGAGGACACAGGGAAGACGAGAGAAACAAGGAGAGGAAAAGTGTTTTTTTTAAGGACAAAGCCGGGAGGTAGCGTGTTTTTTTGGAGTGGTTGGTGTTGTTTTTCTGAAGTGGACGAATGAGACGTGATGTCATCAGGACTGCTAGTGTTTTTTAATTTTAATTTACCATGAGAATGTGCAATCCAGAGATGAAAATTAACAAGACAAAGCATTTTGTCTAAACATTCACAGTTAAGGCTGCGAATCTTTAGGTTTCTCATGACTCGATTTTGATACATAGGGCCAGGAATAGATTAAAATGTAATTCCTGATTCAAAATAGATTCTGGATTCAGTGCATCGGATCTCCACTCTGCATTAATAATGCTTATAGGTGTGACAAAGATAAATCTAAGACAAAATGTAGCATTTATTCATTCTAAACTTAAAAATAATAAAGCATTTTAACTATGTGTTTTTAGTATTTCTTAATTCTCAGTGACTTTAAGGAGTTATACAAACATTTTCATTTTTATCCAACCATTTGTGTCTGTTATGCAACTTGTATGCTAGTTAGCCATTGGGTACCATACCAGATGCAAGACTCAGGCAGGTGTGTTCAGGCAGAATTTGAGTTGAATTTAAGGTTTATTCGGATGGTTACCTCCCTTGCTAGCTTGCATCGATCATACAGCTGTTATCTGATTGGTTGCGTGTCGAAAGGTCTTCTGTTTGTAATTTGAACATTGAACGCAGCGCTCCGCGTCATTTCTGAATCACCTCCATTGGACTCCTTTGTTTACTTCCGTAACATAGTACACATCACTATGTAACACCCATGCTTCTATTGGGTAGTGTCAACACATTGTACTGGATGTGGCTAAGGGGCGGGACATCTATAGTGGTTGACCAATCACAACAGAACCGGCCAGATAACCAATCAGAGCAGACTGGGCTCTGGTTTCAGACAGAGGGTGAAAAGAGGTGCTGCAGCACAGACAGTATGAGAAAAATAAAGAGCTTTTTGAACATTAAAGCATGGAGACATGTCCCAGTAGAGACACAGAATACAAATATGAACCTGAAGATGAGCATAAAACGGTCCCTTAAACCAGTGTTCATAGGTAAACCAGTGGCACCATCATTGGGACACAGGGTGTGGACACCAGTCTGTATTTCTAGCAACATCTCGACCACCTCCCTAGTATGAAATCGTGACACCGCTGTGGACAGACTCTCTGCGACGTATTGTTTTGACGGTCATGTGACGCCGCTCTTGGATCGGCTCGCCTTGCCTTCATGTCTGCGGCGCTGTGAGCGTCTCTCTCTCTAACCCGCTCTGTTTCCAGCCTGTGATGTGAGTAATCCTGCCGGCTGCCTGCCTCACATCAAGAGAGCCGGAGCAGGAGAGCACTCGCTGCCTGTGAAACGGAGAGATGGTTCAACTGCAGGGAAATACACTCAGAAGCACTTCCTGCTCACTTGTTGGCAGCAGGAGTATCAGTTGTTAAAGAGAGCAGAAACTCTACCAAGAGCTTTAGGGTTTCCTCTTATATTTTGTAATTTGATCAATGTCTTAGGAAGCTTCTGTCACTTCCAGCTCTTGCTTAGCTCTGTGGCTTCTACTTTGAAAGGGCATCACATTGCTGACGGGTGTTCATTCACCATTCATTTTGGGTTTAGCTTTAGACATGGTGTTGAAGGAGTGTCAACAAAACAGATATCTGTGTTATTCATTTGTACTTTTTTGACTATTGTCTAGTAATGTGTGCTTACAGTGCAAACAGGAAATGCTAGTTGCTAATGGAAGTTGTTATGGTGCAGATTTAGCAACATTTAAAGACATGTAGGTTAAAAAAGGGTGTAGCTAACAGATAGATAGATGATTCTATCATCAAACATGAAGAATGGTGGGAAACCATCTGGCAAAAATACAATAAGAAATATAGAAATAAAACAAGCTTTAAATGACAGTGCAAAATCATTTATCTTTTTGAAAACGTTATTGTTTCGGACATGAGTAAGACTCTTAAATATGAGTAAGACTCTTAAATATCTCACATCAATTCATGTTGTAAATTAAAACAAGACAAATGGACAAGACTGTTTTCTTAGGTTTGGTAAAAACGATCATGGTTTGGCTTCAAATAAAAATAAGTATATTGGTTAAGTTATTGATTTCAAGAACGTACTGTACCTTCTATAAAGTCAACGTCGTAGACCTTTGTTTTTTGCATGGAACACCAACAGCTGTCTTCCCGGGAAAAAATCACCAAAAACATTGCTTCAAAAATGATATTGACAATGGAGTTATGAGTATGGGAGTTCAGGATGATCCCCGAAACAATAACCTTTCATCCTGTCCATTTGCAAAGGCTTTCACATATTATTCTTATATCAGTAATGGCAGTTGTTCATATCATATCAATCAGAATTGAAAACGGCAGAATGTAAAAGTGAATAATACAGTTTAAGATAACTGTAAAGGGTTACAGTCGTGTTAAGGACTAATAGAAAGCATGGATCCTGCGATGATGCAGTTTGTATAATACAGATTGTCTCTCGTTGGTGCTCTAAACTGTAGAAGAAAGCGGCATATGAGATGAGTTGTTGGGGATTGATCCTGTCACCCTGTCAGCTGCTCAGATCAGTTCCATATAGAGTGAGTCTGCTCCGAGATTCCTGCTCTGCTGCTGAAATGTTTTTCAGTTTTTTCTCCGGATGGTCCGGCCTCCAAACTGCTGCCAACAGCGACTCTGTTGCTTTTATTCCAGCTCTCAGCAGCCGACAGAGCTGATGTCCTCTTTCTTCCGTCTCTTTTGTGCAAACATTTTAATTATCTTTTAATGTAAGCATCTATTTTGATAGTTTTATCCAGCTTGACATTTTACATATTTTGCGAAAAGATGTAGGGATTCCTGTGAGTGTTTTGTAACATCAGTCAGGTGGAATTAATTTTTCATTCAGATAAAATGTAGTATAATTGTAGTTCCAAATTAACGACAACAATAAAT